GTAACCGCATCCCCCGCTTTCATGCGCATTCGCCTGGCTTTTCCCCAAACCAGGGTTTTTTACGAAAAATGGATTTTTCTTTACTCGTCCAAAACAGAGGGCCAACTTTTAACCTATAAATAAGATTTGGGCAAGATCTTTCCCATCCGTTCTCCTGAACGGCACGAGTGAGCCCCAACTACCAGTCAGTGATAAGTTCGTCATGTAAGTGTTCTGTCTCGGCCTCTCTGACAACGGCTACATGACTAACTTCTCACAGCTCCTCCGTGCCCCCTGTGGATGGCACAGAAGTCCTCGTCCGTTCAAAACACAGATGCCTGCCCGTCTGGACAGTAACCCAGGGAAAGTTGCAGAAAGTTTGGGATATGCATGAAGGAAACTTCATTTTCAGAGCCGGAACGCCCACGGGACGGCCCATCCTAAACGAATAGGAAATGGATTTCACTTCCTCGCAGTTCACACGCACCTGCGTGAGGACAGGGGCTGGAATAGCGCCTCGGGAGTGAGATTCTGGGAGAGAAAGTCTCTCTCTGTGCGTCATTCAGAACCACAGTGTCTTGTCATGAAACACGGCATGTACTTAGGAGTGACTGGTTGGAGCCAATTCATTCCGATAGAGCATAGAAGTAATTTTCTTTCCCCTGTCGCGTGGTTCTGCTCATGTGTCTCCTTTAGGTGAGTCCAAACCTCCCTTGAGGCTACTCTTGGTCCTCAGATTCCCGCGTTTAGGAAAGACCTAATGAGCCATGGAGAGGCCGTCCGGCTGGGGCGGGGAGGGGGCGTGTGAGGCCAAGAGTGCTCTGAGCCAGACATGTTCTTAAATTGCTGAACGTCAAAGTGCAGACAACGCCGTGTTCTTACAAGGCCCAAGGACCACATCCCTCTAAGGCAGCCCTTCACTGTCCCTCCTTCCTCTCTAAAAAATCAATAAAATCTATTTTTTTTTAAAAAATTGCTGAACGTCAAAGTGGAGGCAACACCGTGTTCTTGCAAGGCCCGAGGACCACGTCCCTCGAAGGCAGCCCTTCACTGTCCCGATCAACCTCCAGGAAACAGCATTCCGGCTGTCCCCGCACAGACCCATGGCCACGCCGGGACCGGGGGCAGGCGTGGTGTGAGGACCCGGTCCCCAATGGCCCTCAACCCGCTCCCACTGCTGGGCCGAGCTGAAATGAGGCGCGAGTGGCCAAGTCAGCCACGCTTCACCCAGACAGGAGGGCCCAGGGGCTCTAGAAACTTCCAAGGAGCCTTGCTGTGCCCTGTGTCCCCTGGGTGACGTGCCTGCTCTGCCCCGGGTCTGACCCCGCCTTCAGGTGCGGGTGGGAGAGAGCAGGGAGCCATGTGCCCCGAGAAAGGCCCTATCGTAACGGGGTGAGGGGCCCTGGACAGTAAGAAAGCAGGAGCAGGGCCGGGCAAGCCGCAGGCCTGTCCCTGGTCCCGGCCTGGCTGCCCCAGGGCTGTTGCTGAGACGATGCCGGGTTGGGAGGCAGGCGAGCCGGGCAGGGGCCAGAGCTCACCAAAGGCCGCAGGGGCCGGTTTTGTGTTTTAATTCTTGCCTTTGAACAACAGAGGGAGGAGCAAGGCAGAGCTCACAAAGCCGATGGGTCTGGACACAGCAGCTGTGGCCATTTCCCCGGCCGCCCCGCAGGCGTTCACGTTACTTTACGGCCTCTTTCGGGGGCAAATCGGAGCATCCTGCTGGCCCTCCTATGGGAGGCCGTTCACCCCCCAAAAGTCAAACTGTCTCTCTTCTTAGCAACCCTCTCACCCTCGCCCGGTTAACCCTCAGTGGGCTTACAGGGCCAAGTCCACTGGCCACAGCGATCCGACTTCAAGTCCTCCCTTGGGGAAGTCGGGAGGGTGTCTCCGGTCAAATAAGTTCAGAAAATGCCGAGCGGGAGGCTTTCCTGGGAGGTTCGGCTGCACAGTCTGAGCGGTGAGACCGGCTTTT